AATGACGCTACAAAGTAACACACACCTTTGTTTACGTTTGTGTGTTGCTCTGCAACTACTTTGTAGCAACCACAACTGTTTCTGAGGAGCTACATTGTTTGGTGGAAGAATACTGTTTTTATTAATATCATTACACTTTATTTGCTCCGTTTTATTTTCTGTGAAACCTTACTACGTATATATAATAACCGTTTTATAAAAGCACCAAGCCCCGTGAAGCCGTCGTGCCTAACAACGCCCCTTAACTGTTATATTACTGCTTTATTTAATGGTTTTCGATAAGCATAATAAACCCTGTCCAGCCAGAATCCCTGTGTGTGACCTCTGACCTGTGAGGAGCCCTCCTGTCAGAGTCGATGTTGGCGGATGAAGATGAAGAAGAGGAGGAAGGCTGCTGAAGTGCTGAAAATCGATTCAAAGTGCTGGTACGACCAGAGTCCTGGGCTGTAAAACACATTAGAGTCACACCACGTCTGAATATGTGTGCATAATACATCAGACGTGTACAAACACTCACCGCTGTCGCTGGGTTTGGCTCCTGAGCCTCCGCTGCTGCCTTTGCCCCAACTGCCCCACGAGCCTTTACCTCCGGGGGCAAGAAGCTGATTATTGAAGTCCAAAGCGCCCGGCTGCACGACACACACACAAACAGCATTAGTGCTCAATGATTACAGTGAGTGTAAGTCAGAGAGTATCAAAAACTGGGGAGAAAATAAATAAAAACAAAACTATGTAGACATGTTAAATAAATAACATGAACAAAAACGACTAAACATGACAAAAACACAACAAAATTACTAATATTTTACAATTAAGATGAAAAACTGAATCAAAATACTAATAAAAACTACAATAGCAACTCAATCACACTAACATAACACTGCAGGGGGTTTGAGAGTAAACGAAAAGCTTAACATTTTCATTTAAAAATTTAAAATAAATTTTAAAAGTTTCATATTTAAAATAAAGAATGAAACACTAAAAATGATAAAAATCTAAATTAAAATTAATATATATTTGACCATTAACCGACATCAGAGAACATGCGAGTGTTATTAACTTATTGAAATAATTGAAATGATAAATTATAATAATTTTCTTAATTTTTTTAACAATCTTAAAAACTGTAACCTAAAGTAGTAATTTAAATATATCTAACTGAAACAAGGTCAGGTTGATGCACTAAAAACTGGAAATAAAAACTAAAACGTAAAAAAACAAAACAAAATTCAACCTAAACTTAGTGTTATTAAAAAGCAAAAAGTACTAAAAATGACCGAAGCACACAAAGACTTCAAAGAAAGAAATTAAACTAAAATTAAAATAAAAACAAAGTATAAAAATAAATGTTAATCATAGAAATAATACAACAATAACACTGACATTTATAAATTAATATTAATAATAGAGTAATTTGTGAGCCTGGAGCACAAAAGCAGTGTTAAGTCACTGGGGGATATTTGTAGCAATAGCCAACAATACATTGTATGGGTCAAAATTATTGATTTTTCTTTTATGCTAAAAATCATTAGGATATTAAGATCATGTTCCATGAAGATATTTTGTAAATGTCCTACCGTAAATATATCAAAACTTAATGTTTGATTAGTAATATGCATTGCTATGAACTTCATTTGGACAACTTTAAAGATGATTTTCTCAATATTTAGATTTTTTTGCACCCTCAGATTCCAGATTTTCATATTATTGCATCTCGGCCAAATATTGTCCGATCCTAACAAACCATACATCAATGGAGAGCTTATTTATTCAGCTTCAGATGATGCATACATCTCATTTTCACAAAATTGACCCTTATGACTGGTTTTGTGCTCCAGGGTCACATATTTAATATGAATATAACATTTCTTCCAGAGTTCTTACAGTAAATGTTACTGTCCATGGTACATTTCTATAACAGTTCTTTCTATAAACCTTCTTCTATAGTTGATTATTAATTGTTTAAGTGATTCAGGTGTGACTGATGGATGTACTGGAGGGGAATCAGACCTTGGTGATCTTGCTGAGGCGCGTCGGGTCGATGGGTCTGTTCTTGGTGGAAATGGGCACCGTGTTCCAGCCGTCATCAGGGGCCTGGTTGCCACGGGAACCGGGTGTGTGGGGGCCTCCACGGGGCCCCATCCCTCCTCCTCCTCCTCCTCCTCCAGCTCCTGCACTGCGGCTGTCCTTCTTGGACAGGAGCTGCTGCTGAACTTTGACCTGCTCTCGGTGCTCCTCCAGCTCTGCTTCCTTGTGGATCTGCTCGATGGTCTTCGGCCCCAGATCTCCTCGCCGCGGGACCCAGTTATTCTGAGGGACGCCGAGAGAACAAGAGCTCATTACTAGAGATGCACCGATCGATCACTCACAGAAAGTTATGCATACTGCGGTAGTAAAATTAGACATTTATAATATATGAGTTAGGTACAACCAAAATATTTCAACACGATTGCAATGTGCTTTTATACAATAGTAGTTCAATAAACAAGAAGTTAAAATTAAGCGACCATTTTAGACACAATATTGACTGTTTTTGCTCAATTTCACTGATGAGAATAGTTCCAATCAAAGCCACAGCAGAACTGTTTTGTGTCTCCGAGCAACACTGCGGTGTTTCGTTACTGAATGAATCCCCGTTTTTGAACAAATCAAATGAGTCAATGATTCAGTAACCCGTTCATAAAGACAGTGTTTTTGAACAAATCAAATGAGTCAATGATTCAGTAACCCATTCATATAGACAGTGTTTCTGAATGAATCAAATGAGTCAATGATTCAGTAACCCAGTCATAAAGACAGTGTTTATGAACGAATCAAACGAGTCAATGATTCAGTAACCGGTTCATAAAGACAGTGTTTTTGAACAAATCAAACGAGTCAATGATTCAGTAACCCGTTCATAAAGACAGTGTTTTGAACGAATCAAATGAGGAAAATGATTCAGTAACCCATTCATAAAAACAGTGTTTTTGAACGAATCAAACGAGTCAATGATTCAGTAACCCATTCATAAAGACAGTGTTTTTGAACGAATCAAATGAGTCAATGATTCAGTAACCCATTCATAAAGACAGTGTTTTTGAACGAATCAAATGAGTCAATGATTCAGTAACCCATTCATAAAGACAGTGTTTTTGAACAAATCAAACGAGTCAAAGATTCAGTAACCCATTCATAAAGACAGTGTTTTTGAACGAATCAAATGAGTCAAAGATTCAGTAACCCATTCATAAAGACAGTGTTTTTGAACGAATCAAATGAGTCTGATTCAGTAACCCGTTCATAAAGACAGTGTTTTTGAACGAATCAAACGAGTCAATGATAGTAACCCGTTCATAAAGACAGTGTTTTTGAACGAATCAAATGAGTCTGATTCAGTAACCCGTTCATAAAGACAGTGTTTTTGAACGAATCAAATGAGTC